TACTGGGAATACTATGTCTACTTTGGGGCACCACATTTCAGGAGAGATTTGAATTCTAGCAAACATGACGTGAAAAAGGTAGGGAAAACTGTCATTATTTAGTCCGAAGAAAAAGTTGAGGGTGGATTTGATAACAGTCTTCAGCCACTCGAAGGGTGAAGGGTGGTTATAAAGAGGAAGTGATAAACTATTCTCTGGCTGCAGAGGACAACACAAGAAAAGCCTGAAGAGTAGGAAGAACTTCCTATCTATGAGAGTGGTTAAGCTGTGGAACTGATTATCTGGAGAGGTTGTGAAATCCTTGCATGCTTTTAAGAGTAGATCAGACAGACATTGGCCTGGGATGGTTTAGACAGGGCTGGTTCTGGTTCTGCCTTGACCAGGAGATGGGACTAGATGACCTCCTTGGGTCCCTTTCAGCTCTACTTTTCTATGATTTTATATACATTAAATACTATGTAGATTTAGATCACATGGTTGCATATCAGACCTGATGCATTTCTTTGAATGAATGAGAAGAGGTTGAAAGTGAAGATAAAATTAAACAGAAGGCAGAGAATCCTATTGCTTGATCACTTTGATGTAAAAGTAACATTCACTCTGATAAGTATCTCATTAAAAATGTTGGAACAATGGCCAGAGGATATGTTGAAGATGGCATGCACCCCCATGCAAATTCTAAGAAGCCAGGCTGAAAATACTGATGAAAGTTTTGAAATGCAAAATTCAATTAAGTGAAATGTCTTCACTGTTTCCATTGCCATAGATAAAAAATACTGACAGCACAGACAAGAACATCTTCCAGATTTTATCCTTAATCAGTATTCACAAGAGTTGCCTCGCCTATTTGAATTCACTTGAAGTTAATCATGATTTCTTCTGTCTTTGGAGCTGAATGCTTTGTATATGAAGCTTTACATAAGTAAAGGATAGTCCAAAATTTTCAAATCTGGGTGCTGGAAGTCAGTCTCCTAAATTTATTAATATATCTCTAAGTAAAAATGGTCTGAGCACCTACAGTGCCTGTTGACTTCAGCCAAAGAGACCATGGACTCATCTAAGGCCACTTCTTTATTTGATTCATTAATATTTTTTAGGAACCTAATTTTAGGCCTTACATTTGAAAACCCACAGCTCTTGTGCTGTGCAGAAGCCCACTATGCTATTTACCAGGTATATCAGTAATTGTGGTGAATGAGCAATACATTTTCCTCTGGCATGAAAAGCATTAGGCTTGACTCAACAGTGAAGCAGGCATGGAGAATAAGCATAAAACAGGAAAGCATAGACTGATTTTTGACTCACTGTTTTGTTAGTTACAGTGACTGTAGAAAGTGAGATGGACAGAGCAGTGAATATTTAACTGCTCCAAAGATTTGCCCCAAACCACAATCTAATATTAAACAGTCTTAAATCTCTTGTCAGCTACTCTTCAGCCGGACATGAGTGAGAGGTCTTTGAGAAAGGAGCTGAAAAAGAGGTAGCAACAAACTGGGAGTGCACAGACACATACAAGAGTGGAAGAGTCTCAAGCAGCCTTTGTCTGCTGCGTATCCCATCTCGGACAATACTGCTGCCAGACCTGTGTTACGGAATTTGGTTTCCTGCATTAATTCTGGGCCAAGATCACAAAACTAATGAACACTGATGGGCAGTTTAGTATGAAAAATATAATCCTCTCAAGCACCTGGTGATAACCAGAGAATTAACCACTCTTATTTTAGACATCTGAACTGTTCTGTAAGTGACAACTCAATTCAGCAGTATTGTATTGGGATGATAAGGTACGTAAATATCTCCCAAAGGGAAAGGAGATGACCTTTCAGACAACTATCAAAATTCAAACAATCTTGGGTCCTTTATTTCTTTTCTGCATTAGTCATTTTTTTTTCTTTCTTGTCTCTATCATCTCTCTTTCAACTCTCTCGGGGGAACTACTTTGCTGCCTTTTTACTACTTGCATCTACTTGCAAAGCTATTACAATGTTAAGAGACTCAAAATACCCTAATTGCTTAACAGCCGTATGCACCAGGGTTTCTTGAAAGCTGGTCTAGAACAGGAAGAGAGAACTCAATGGCAGAGCTGAGCATAAGACCAGCTAGTCCTTTTTATCTGTGCATGATGTAACCTGAGTCTGATGCAGGTGGGTGACGGTATAACTTTTGCTGGTGATGATGGATTAGATCATCAGATCCTCTGAGTTCTTGGTTGTCACAGCTGTCGATGGGCTAGGGCACAGGTGACTTTCTGCTCCCTCATCTCCAATCTTTGGAGCAACGTGGAGGCTTCTGGTGTCCTAATAATGATCCTAATGTTACAAGATGGCAGTGCTTATGGTTCTTGGTTTTCCTTTTTTGTAGCAGTCTTAGCTCCCCCAGCTTGTTTTCCTGTTCTGTCCTGGAGGCACTTGGTGGTAGGTGTTCAGTCTCCTGTCCTTCTATTGGCTCCATATTCATCCTTGCCACTTTCCAGCTTTTCTCCCTGAACAACACTCGAGTCTCACCTGGTCCCTTTATCTTTATACATTTCCCCCCAAAATGTCTTTTCCCCTTGTATATTTTAAGGATGGGAAAATTTACAAATTTCTCTTTCCTCTCAAACTAATATTCTTCCTTTCCAATGCTTGTTTCCAATATACAGAACCACTCCCTTACTCAGCAGTTCTCAGGTCCTTACCTTTTTTATTAAACCAAAAAAAATATTAGTTGGTACTGCTTTGTTACAAGCAGCACCCCTGCATAAACTTCTAGAGCAAGCCCTTTACATCTGGAATAGCTGTACTACTTGAGACCTAAACCTGCCATTTTACAAGCAACTCCTGTGTGCCAGCTCTTCTCTTCCAACTCGTAAGTACTCTACCTCCTGTTGCATCTCCCTTTTGTTTCTGGGATTCAATATTTTACACAACTTGCACTCAGGTGTTTGGTGATGCCATTGTTGCATGATTCTCCAGTGCTTTGAATGTGGATTTCTAATGTACTGTAGGGGCTTTTGTCATTTTCTTCCGTTTGCCTGTTAGGCTACCTGGTGTAGTGAATGGCTGCAAGCAGGAGCACGTTCAGTGAAGTCTATGCCTTCATTCTGTTTCATTGGGTCAGGATGGTGGGACAAATCCTAGTATTCAGGTCAATTTGGGGCTTGAATGACAGTTACCTGCCTGCTGCTGAGCTGAACAGGAGTGGAAATGTTGGTGTGGTGAATAAAATGATAGATAGGAGTAGCAAACCTCTTACTGGTACCTGCATGAGAGGAGTGCAGCTGCTGTTTTGTAGCAAAGGGCACATTAGATCTGTTTGAGTCTTGGGCTCTCCCTGGGTGCCCAGGCAGTAATTGTGGCCAAGTGCCCACCTGTCATCTGAAGCTAATAGGAAAATGAAAACCTCCTGGAATGTACTCTGGCTAATGTTGTTACAACCAAGACTTTTCTAGAGTTGTTTAGAGCAGCGTTTCTCAACCTGTGGGTTGTACCCAAAAGTGGGTCCCAAGAATATGATGAAAGGGTCACGAACAACCTTTTAAAAATTGATCAACAAATTTAAAAAATGGATTCTCCTTTAAAGGAGAAAAACATGGGAAACCATGGCTTTCCTTTGCAGGCTATCAGTGTCCCACCCTGTGAGAGGCTGTTTGGGGCTCTCCATGCCCCACACACCCCGTGGGGGGCTGAGGCCTGGAGGCAGTGGGTTAGGAGTGAGGGGCACTGGGTTGGAACTGGCCATCAATGTTTACAAATGGGTCCTGGTAGAAAAAAAGCTGTATGTATTTTAATTATAGTGATACTCAAAGGCCTGAATCAGGTTGGGGCTCCAATGTGGTAGGTTGCTGTGCAGGCACACAGAGGTCTGCTTTTCACCTGGGGAAGGGTACACAATCTAGGAAGTGTATCCTGAGCCATACTATATAGTTCGGTGAGAGTTCATCAGGGGCCTGGGGGCAGGAAGCATTGTAAGAAATAAAGTGCACAAGAGGAACAAGCCTCTGTGATACTGTTGTATTTAGAACATTAAAGAATCCAACACTCCTGTGGCTCTCGGGCTCTGAACTGTAACGCTTGTGGAGGGGTTGGATTCTTATTCACAACATAGATGCTTTTCCAGTTGCCTTTGCTGCATAAACTTAGATTGAAAAGATCTAAAGGAAGTGGGTTGCCAAAGCACACATGAAGACACACATTTAAGAGGGATTCCAAGTGCTAGTGAAGAACTAGCATACCTTAGTGGTGATGTTTTTGATCTGTGGGAAGAAATGTGTGTGCATGAAACACAAGTGTTTGGTGACCAATATTATTCAATCCATGCAGAACACCTGTGTTGGTCTGGAAAGATTCTGCAGCTCACCCCTTCTGGATTTAGATGCTATGATAGCAAGTGGACAGAAATGGGAAAAAGTGCAGGGAGAATCATCCATAATGGAAATTATGATCTACTTATTGTATTGACAAAGACCACAGAAGTTTAAGTGTTAGCAAAAGATTGGTCTTTACATTTAACTTTTTCTATGATAAAACTGGTGTAGTTCCATTTATATTGATGACACTATGCCAACTGGTGCCAGCCAAGAATGTTTCTTGTCTTTAGACAGAAAATAATTTAAATGGCAACAGGACCAGTTGTATTCCTGGTTTCAGGTTTAGTTTTTTTTTTTCTAGCACTCAACCATATTCTAAAAGCCATGTCACCAACAGTCAGGTGTGGCACTAGTTCTAGAATGCAGCCAGACTTATTTGGCTTTTTGAAAACTAAAAGGATGTACTGAAGTCCATATAGCGAGTCCTTTTAAAGGATGCAGAGGGATTGCATTAGTGGCATTTTACTAGTGCAGGTTAATGTCTAAGACCATGTGAGTTCAATATGAAAGGAATAGGCAAATTCAAGCTAAAGCTCTCAGCTCTCTTTTGGGAAGACCTACCAGAAAAGACAAATTGTATCCATTCTTTCCATTGCTGGATGTTAAGACCTGTACTTTGAGAGAGCAGCTACAAATCAGACAAACACCTGGATATAACAAAATTAATGAAACTTTATTGGCAGCTTTTTAAAGTTGTATGTAATTTGTGTAGCTCAGGAGAAGCAAATTTCAGTTTAGTTTATCAAAATACTTCAGTTTTCCAGCAGGATCTGGGATTATCTGTGTAAGAAAGAAAGTGAAAGCATTAATCTGAAAGCAAACGGTACATCATGTATTGAAACCGCTGCCACAAGCTACATCTAAAAGTTACTCATCAACTGTTTTTACTATTTTAGAAAGAGCTATGTGGTGGAAGAGTATGGGCAGTAAAAGTAGGGGAGGAGTTTAAGGAAGAAGGTCTGCATAGTTGAAAGAGCACACACCAGTCTGACCTGCCCCAAAAGCAAACTTGAAATGATTTTAATGAATTAACATCTGTAATCAAGAGCCTCAAAAGTTACTTACAGCTCTTCTCTTGGCCACCAGGCTCTCATGGCTTCTTCAGGTTTGATCTAATCAAATCAAACATATTTAGAGGGCAGGGCTACAGATGTCAATGTCTCTCAAAGAATGCGTTCCTGAACTACATTGCAACTTAAGTGCTTTGCAGCTTTTGTAGAGAATGGATTATTTTTATTTACTGTAGCAATATAAACTCACTGGGGGACTTGAGCATCTCAGCACTGAGTGAATACCTGAAAATAGATGTACTAAAACAGTGGCTGCCATACAGCAGTAACCTTTAAAAATGTAAATTATTGCTATCAACTGGGTGTTCCATTTTATGAATATCGCTGTTTCACAGAAGTGCTTAACCTTCCTTACAATAAACATCACATGCTTAGCAACTGCTGATTGATGGATTATTCAGGCTGACCGGTATCACGGAATGTATAACTTTCCAAATATCAGTGTGTCAGCTAATCCACTTTCCTTACTGAATTTAAACATCCCACTTCGTGCACCAGTAGGGTGGGGTGCCTGTGAGGGTGTTGTTGCAGTGGTGGGGATGGTGAGGGGTACCTGTGCACTGCAGCCTGGTGGCCTGTGGCTTAACTGGTGTGGCCAGCATGGCGTATGACCCCTGGGGGCTTATAAATTGGACAGCCCTGGATGACGAGTTCTTTGCCTCAGTGTTCTTAAGTGAGGGGCAGGACAAGTCTCTCACTGGGATTGTAGAGAGGCAGCAGCAAGGCGCCAGACTACCATGAGTAGACCCTGAGATGGTGCAGAGTCACTTGGAGGAACTGGATGCCTTTAAGTCGGCAGGCCTGGGTGAGCTCCATCCGAGGGTGCTGAAGGCACTGGCCGACATCATTGCACAGCCACTGGTGGGCATATTTGAACGCTCGGTGCGCACGT